TTTAAGGGGATTTGCATTTATACTCAGTTTTTGGGTCACCTTTTAACCTATACCTGTAATTTAAGGGGATTTGCATTTATACTCAGTTTTTGGGTCACCTTTTAACCTATACCTGTAATTTAAGGGGATTTGCATTTATACTCAGTTTTTGGGTCACCTTTTAACCTATACCTGTAATTTAAGGGGATTTGCATTTATACTCAGTTTTTGGGTCACCTTTTAACCTATACCTGTAATTTAAGGGGATTTGCATTTATACTCAGTTTTTGGGTCACCTTTTAACCTATACCTGTTTTGTAAAAAAAATTGTAAGCGTACCCATTTTTCGGGTAACTTCAGACATATGGGCCTGAAGTAGCAAAAATTTATGTCTGAAGTTTGAACTTCAGAATGTTTTGCCTGAAGTTTGGCCTGACTTGCAAAGGCAATCACGCAAATTTTAGTTCATAGTGCAATGAAAAACTTCAGTTCAATAATTGTTGAACTTCAGCAATTTTGGCTGAAGTTTTTATTTTGTAATTGCTGAATTTCAGTATTTTAGGAGCAGAAGTTTGTTTAGTATTTGCTGAACTTCAGCTCCTAGAGGATGCATTTCAGTTCAATAATTGCTGAACTTCAGCAATTTCGGCTGAAGTTTTTGTTTTGTAATTGCTGAACTTCAGCATTCTAGGAGCTGAAGTTTGTTTAGTATATGCTGAACTTCAGCATTTTAGGAGGTGGAGTTTGTTTAGTATTTGCTGAACTTCAGCTCCTAGAGGATGCACTTCAGTGCTTGGGTCCTTTTGGGTAATATTCCAAGCAGTCAACTTGAACTTCCCGTCGTCCATCCTCATACCAGGAAGGAAGGTATCAGTGGGTTCATCAAAACTTTGCCATAGTGGCTTCCCTGACAAATCATCAATTAAACCAAGTTTCCTGAATCCAAAAGCTTCGCTTTATATGAAGAAGATGCACGTGTGCCTACTTGTGTTGAGAAATATGAGTTCCTTGACGAGTCCAACATTTTTGAATAATAATATCATCTAGAGAAAAGAATAATATTACCCGAAGAAGAAGAAGAAGAAGTAGGAGGAGGAGGAAAAGAAGAAGAAAACGAAAGAGGAGAAGAAGGAGGAGAAAGATGCCTAAAATTGTTTTAAAAGTGGGTACAAGTTAAAACTTTTTTAAAAAGTGAGTATAAGTTAAATGGGGGCGACCTGACGCCAATGCAATTTTTAAGTAATTTAATTAATTCTCCAACAATGAATGAAGTGGGCATGGAATCTATGTTTACCTTTGATTAGTTGTTTTATCATAACCAAAGAAACTCTTATTGGACATGGTTCTTCAGCTATTTTTCTTTAAATACAGGAGCTGAGCTAGATTTCCATAAAAAGAGATATTCCAATACTTCTCCGCATTATCACGGAAAATCTTCTCTAAAGTATTTTAGCAAGATCATTTCAATGAATAAGTGTTGTTATCATTTCCGTCTTGACTTATTTATTAATAATCATTCTATGAAGTAGATGTGTTAAAATGAAAAACTCGTAAGTTTGATAGCTAGCTTGAAAACCCGATGGAAATTTATGGGGCAGTTAGGCCATTCTGTCAAAAGAATATTTAGCCCCCATATTTAATTTTTGAAAATATCTTTAAATTCAACAAGTGTTAGTCCTAGTAAACTAAAACCTACTGTAGACTTCAAATGCAGAAGTTTTAAAGGTCAGCAGCCGATTTTATATAATCTTCAAACTTGACAATATTCATTTGCTTTAAAAGGAAGAACTCACGTCAACCTTTTTGCAAAAAAAAAAAAAAAAAAAAAAAAAGAAGGTGCTACAAAGCAAACCCATTTTCCATCAAGTGCGGCTAAAATAATCAATCAAAAATAAAAGAAATCTTTTAGCCCTCAAATATAGAGAGCAGAACCATGTAAATTACAATACTTGCTAAATTACAATCCAATTCCAAAGAGCCTAGCAATTTTCTTTTCACCTAATTTCTAGTAAGATATAAGACTATAGGACCAAAGAATAATACTATCGTAGAAAAAAACACAAGGAAAACGTAAAATAGGTGTTTGATCGAAGAAATATTCCTAAGAAAACCGTACGATAGGAAACTCTATTTGAATGGGCCTTAANTCCTCCTTCTCGGCTGCCACCACCACTGCCGCCTCCGCCACCTCCTCCTTGGCCGGTACCATCGCTTCCACCTCCACCTCCACCGCCACCTCCCCACCCGCGCCCGGCCCCTCCACTGCCTCCTCCTCCTCCACGTCCGTCCTTTTCGTCGATAACAGCGTGAGTAATGTTGTAGGTATTGTTGACCATTTTTGGAGCTTGAGCAATACTACTTCCGTCTACAGTTTCATCACCTCTCAAACTCACCATAAACATAAAAATAAACAACAAAAACATTAACAAACTTTGTCTTGGACTACTGAAATTCTCCATTGTTGAATTACTTGATTAAGATTCGAGTAATCTTGTCTTCCTTTTATAGTTGTTCGTAGGAGTGGACAAAGACACTAAAAAATATAGAACATATTACGTACCTACTTGTCTTGTTCTAGTCATGTTGAAGCTATCTAACGAACTATCAGTGAGAAATAAATATAGTATTTCTTAAATACACATAGAATTAATTGCCTTAGGTTTTACTCTGTCCCCACAAGAGCAAATGAAAGGCTGGGACTCATTCATGGCTTGCTTGAAAAGGTAAGGCAACTCATCAATGAAGATCCTGGCAATTTTGTCTGACTTATTTTAATAGAGACAGAGAATGATATTTAGAAGGATTTAGGGACCGATGAGGTTCTATCAATGGAGCCCACTAGTTTCATGTTTGTTCAAGTACTAGCAGTTGGTTGGCTGCAAATAGGCCTAACAACAGTAGTGGTTTGTGGCGCGAAAGCAGCCAAGATTTAGAGTTTATGAGCTCAATTTTAAATTAATAATTTTATATATATTTAATAGATCTTATCATAAATACAGAGTTTATACAAAATGTATCAGGTTCGGTCAAACCCGTAATCGAAAGACTAGCTCCGCCTCAGGACGCAAGTAGTGGTGTAGGTCTATTGTCACAATTTCGCGTGTATATATGACTTGAATATGCTGTAATGGTGATTTTAAAACATTATTTTTTGTGTAAATTGATATTTATTTTATATTATTTTAAGTTAAGTGTGTCAAATATATGTACCTGTAAGGTCCCGTAAAAACTTTTCTAAAAACCCCGGTTCCGTGATGCCAAAGTAGGCGTAGAGATTAATGATAGTAGAAATTCTTCGAGGCGAGCTTGCGAGCCACGGTTCGGACTTTTTAGATTGAACAGTGCGTTGGGAGTTGAAGGTAAATGTTGGGCAGAAGTACGCATTTTTGCGGCCCATTCTGCGGCCGCAGAACCAGTCTGCGGACCGCAAACTGGGGAAGATTTCTGGGGCATTTTTGATACCCAATTTTGCGGCCATTATGCGACCGCATAACCATTTCGCGGGCCGCATTCTTGTCGCATATCCCGCCTTGGGATTTTTCGGAGAGAGGTTCTGTGGTGCATTATGCAACCGCAGAACAGGTCTGCGAGCCGTATAGTGACTGCAGACCAATCAGTTTCTTTCCAGTTCTGGCCCCCATTTTCGCGGTCATTTCGCGGACCGCATAACCACTATGCGGTCGCATATGCGACTGCAGAACCTGTTCCAGAGCTTCAATTTTTGAATTTTTAAACCCGATCCCATTCCGTTAAAACACATCCCATGGACCATTTTGATCTATTTTCTGATATTTTTAGAGTGAGAGAGAGGGTCCTAGAGGGAGAAGTGATCTTCATCAAATTGTTCTTCAATTCTCACTTAAAATCTTAAAGATTATCAAGAGAGGCACCTAGGTCTTCTTCCTAAGAGGTAAGATTCTATCACCCAAACTCTTAATTTCAAAATGTAACTAGAATGTGCCATTAGTAAGGTAATTAATGGGGATGGGAGTGCTTACCTTGCATGCATGTATCCTTGTAGTATGTGGGAAGATTGTGAGCTAAAGATGATAGAGAATGGGTTGGGGAATGATGGAATCTTCCACAAAAAGGGCCTTAAAATATTGATGCACACCTAGTGTTTGATAATATGCTCAAATGAGCTAAAACCTTGTTCATTTTCCTAATTTTGATCCAACTTGTTATATTTCTAAAATAGATTGAAGTTGCTAAGAATTACGGGTCATTTTAGAGTTTGAAGAAGCTCAATTGAGGTATGTTAGCTAAACCCCCTTCTTTTTAGAATCGAACCCCACGGTGTTCATGTAACACTACTAGAAAATGGCTATTTTTCGACTGCAAAAATGATCAGAAAGTGGTCAGAAAATGCTAATTTCTGACTATATTCAGACCGAAAAGTCGTAGTCACAAAATAGCTGGTCTGAAATAGTTTGTGGTCGAATCAGTCCGTAATTTGCGACTACAGCGGTCGGAAAGTCAAAATAGAAAAACGACTAATAAATATGGTCAATTTTTCGACTGACGCGGTCGCAAACAATTTAAATTAAATTTTAATTTCATATTAACTTTCCCACTACTTCGGTCGTAAACGGTATACATAATTATAATATTATTTAATTTTATTTGAGTTTTCCACTACCGTGGTCGCAAATCTAATTTAAAATTATTTATTTATTTATATTTCCGACTACCGTGGTCGCAAATCTAGTTTAAAATTATTTATTTTATTTATATTTTCGACTACAGTAGTCGCAGATGTTCCTGAATCTGGAATATTTTGAAGCATTTTGCGACTACTATGGTCGGAAATCAATCGAAAAACTGGGAATATTTTGCCAAATTCCAGCTCTTTTAAAGCAGTACCTCCTGCCAATTCAAATATACAACAACCAATTAATCCACCATGCCAACCCATTATTCCACAATGCTAACCAATCAATCCGCCATTTCAACCAATCAATTCACCATTGCAACTAATCTAATCCATAAAATGCAAAATATAAATATTTGTAACTAAAACATCCAAAAAGAGTTAAACATTCTAGTACCATTCAATCTAGTCTAAAACATTACAATCATAGTCAAATGTAAATATTACCAAGTCTAAACATCCAACTACAACAAATAATAATGTCTCAAACATCATAACCATAACAAACAAAAATTCATTATCCCCACCATCCTCGTCATTCAAAGGATCAATGGACGTCCGCTCATAAATTTCTCCACTAGACTCTGCAATTTGTTAAAATTTGCGCGATCTTCTTTCCGTTCCTCCTTCAACTCTTCAACTTCTTTTCGTAATGCTTCCACCTCTTCGTGATCTTGTGAATAACTCGCATCACCAGACAACAATGTTCTAACTTTTTTTGCGCTACCAACCACCCACGTCCATATTGAAGCTACATCATTGAGTGACACTTGGGTTGAGCTACCATCCTCGGAATCGGGTTGACTTTGACGCCATTTCTTAAAACGTTGCTGATAGGCTTCCTGAAATTAAAATGTTTGATATTCTTGATTCACTATGGTCAAGTTGGCAATAAAGTGATAACAATTTACCTCCATTTCAAAAATACATAGTCAGATAGTTCATAATTTTGTTCACAACCAGAGAAAGAGATACATATATACATGAAAAAAGTTAGTAAGTTAGTCAGAATCCTGCTAGTAATAGATGAATAGCAAGACTAAAGATCCTGCTAGTAATAGATAATCCTTTAAAAAACTGCATTGGTTCTATCATAGAAAAACATATATTCATAATTTTTCAGAATTCCTGTTAAGCATTTCCTTACTCCTAAGGTTGATGACAATTTGAAACTAACACAAAATTAGCTAGACACAGAACCAAAACTCCCAAACCTTAGCAAATCTTTGAGTAAAATACTCTTATACTAGCAAACAGTTCATCACTCAGGACATGCGACTCAAGCGATATCAACTCAAATGCAAGAAATAACAGATCAAACTGGACATACATCATTAGTTACTAGTAGCCACTCAGCTAAAAAGATGTAAAGTGCAGATTTCAAGCAACTTAGCAGCAACATTTTACTTGTCGTTCAGGTTTTCAAGATCAAGCTAACATAAAAACAGAGTAAACAGCAGCTGAAGTTTGAAATCTGCCATAGAATATTACCACGATTTCTTACGATTAAAGAGGGAGCGTGCACTTTCAGGAGACCATGCGCGGATACGAAATATTTCGTCTTGGATAATCACACAGAAGAAAGTAAAGAACTACTCTCACAAGAATAAAAATAATTGAATTTACATAGAACAGAAACAAGGTAGTGAGTAATTCACTCAAAAACATTAAAAATTCAGCTCACATTATGAACAATTGTCTTTGATCTGATTCTGAAAACATACCTACTAAGTGACTTTTCCCATTTGATTTTGGTTTTAAAAAGGAGGGTCATGTGACTTGCTTAAGACATTATAAAGCACCTCATAAAGAAATCTCCCTGGACAAAATATCCACATATAGTCCTTTCCTGTTGGTGCAGAGCAAGGAAACTAAACCATTCATAATACAATCAATTGGAGGCAAATAAGAACATTATAGTTCATGATCATTCTTCACTGTGTGTTAAGCAACCTAGACTAAGCATTTCAGACTTAAAATTAATCTCACTGCAGGGTCATGCTAACATTGAAACCTCATAAGCTACTAGACAAAGGGAAGATAATCAGATTTTTTGATTTTCTAACAGAACCCTATAGAATGGTAAGTTAAAACTAACAAACATCCTAGATTTAACTGTGTTTAACCAGCAAATAAATGGAGAAGAAAAAATTAATTCAAAATATTCAAGACATTCAGAGTTAATGTGATTTTAAGGTGGATTTCAGGATCAACTACGTATTTTCAATAGTAACCAAAGACCATAATCGCAAAGTACAACTACAGAAAATCCAATTTCTCCAACTAGAACGGTGCAAAATGGTTCGTGGCAACAAAATAGAAACACTAATGTACTGCCTATGAGAAAAGGAAAAGTAAAACATTCAATCAATTCAAATCTTCAATATAAATTTCATACAATAAATCTTAAAAGAACGAGGGTAATGGAACGCAGAAAACATAATGGCAGTGATTAACCCTCACTCTCAGTGACTCCAAAATTAGAAACCAACCACAAATTAGAAACCCCAAATTTTCTTTAACCAGAGAATAGCTATAATAATAATATACTAAAGCATATGACTGTGCATCAACTGATTTCAAATCGTCAAGTGAAAGTTTAAATTCAGATGTAAAAACTACATTGACGAAGTAATCAAAAGAACAAATGAACAACTAAAAATGACTAATTAAGTGAAATCAAATCCAAATGATTAATTACAGAAATTCAAAACAAACTTTAACCAGATGCAAAAATGCAGTGTTTTTAGAGTTTCTCTAAATTCATATACCTAAGAAAACTGCTTTCTACTAAAATTAAGAACCACAGATTCCAACATAAACACATAAAAACTGCTTTCTACTGAAATTAAAGTTACCCATTTAAAGATTGTGCCTTAAAATTGAAGATGGAAAAATTAAACAGAAAAGGGAAAAAAAAACTTACCCGTATGAGGATATGAGAAGAAAGAGAGAGAGCTGAGTGATTAGTGATTTACCTCAAGGTGTGGACGAGAGATTGAAGAACGAGACCTTCAAGGATCGGTCGAGCAGAGAGAAAGAAACAGAAAATTGGGAAAAAAAGGGTTTTGGCGTGAAATATTAGATTAAGGTTAGTGACTACGGTAGTCGCAAACCCGCTAAAATTATTTTATCATTTTAATTTTAATTTTAATTTTGCGACTGACACAGTCGCTTAGTGGGTCAACAGAATTTTTTGACTTTTTAATGTCCGACCGAATCGGTCGCAAAAGTGAAGGCGGAAAATTGGTACGCTGTTTTTCCACTGCCTTTGTCAGAATAACAGTCAATTTTCTTTTTTAAAAATAAGTAATAAAAATTCAATCTTTTTTCCACTACTGCGGTCGCAAAAGTAGTCCCATTACCGACTGCTTCATTTTCAGTTGGAAAATTCGGTCACAAATTGATGTTTTTCTAGTAGTGTAATTGGAGTAAGCCCTTGATCATTATAGAATTGGCGATTTCTAATGTGTTTGTGTTGAAGGATGTGAGTTCAATATTTATTCTAAATGATTCATCATGTTATCTTGTTATTTGAGAATGCGTTCCAAATGTGGAATATGTGCTAGCAAGGATAAGACTTCCAGTCAAGATCGAAATAAAGGTTGTTATGCCAAATTGTATGAAAAGCCTCTATGTGTATAAGACTCCCAAATTGCTCATATGTGAACTTAACGTCTTGAATGAGAAGCCTTATTATTGTTGATAATAAAAATGTTGGAATGTGGAAAAGAACTTGAATTATGAAATACGGCCTAGCACCAAGAATAACTTTATAATTAGGGCCACTCGTGCCATTGTATTGAAAGTATGGGAAAGAAATATGAATTGAGATGACAGATTGAATATGGGTGATGTCTCAAATGAGATGGCCTAGCCGATCGGGCCGAGATCGGACTCCGTGTAAGAACACGGTGATATTGTGGATAAAATTATGAAAAAGGTTGATGTCTCAAATGAGATGGCCTAGCCGATCGGGCCGTGAACGGACGCCATGCCGCGCACATGGTGGCACTGTGCTTGAAATTATAATGAAATGGTGGTAGTGTCTGAAATAAGATGGCCTAGCCGATCAGGGCGAGATCGGACTCCGTGTAAGAATACGGAGGCATTGTGAATTGTGGAATATCGGTATTATGGGTCACCCAACCTAATAATATGGAAATTGTCTCGAAAATGTATATGATCCTTAACTTGTTGTTTTACTATTATTTGAAGCCCTTATTGAATTCTTGATTGTTCCTCTTGTATTATTCTTCATTTTATTGAGTTGGTGTTTAGCTTTACATACTAGTGCTATTCGACGGTACTAATGTCCCTTTTGCTGGGGGCGCTGCATCTTTAAATGGATGCAGGTGGTTACATAGTAGATAGTGTTGATCACAGATAGTGCTGCATCCTCTTCTCAGCGGACTTGGTGAGCCCCATTTCATTCCGGGGTCATGTATTGTACTTTTTGTTTATGTTGTGTTTGATCAGTTGTTCCACTCGAATTATAAGAAATGTGTATTTTGAGACTTAAAGGCGCAATGACTAATGAAACGATTTAGGATTGTATGAATGAGATTCCTATTGTATAATTAATGAAATCACATCTTTTTTTGATCATGGGTTAATTGGGTAGAAAGTATCTAATAGGCTTGCTCGGCCGGGTTCACTCGGTTGAGTGTCGGTCGTGCTTTCCGAGGTTGGTGCGTGACAAACTTGGTATCAGAGCCTAAGGTTTTAAAGTATCCTAGGATGTCTCGGAGCCGTATCTAGTAGAGTCCTTCTTATCGGTGTGTTGTCGACCACATCTATAAGTTGGAGGCTACTCGGACATTTAGGAACAATACCGTTCTTTGATATTCTGTATCGTGCGATGAAACTAGTTGTGCAACTGTTCCTCCTCTAACTCGTACATTCCTTTAACTTTCAGTATATGGCACCTAAGAAGAGAGAAATGACTGGCCAAGGATCCAATACCGCCTTAGGAGTGGCAGTTGACCATTTATTTGATGATGCGGGTGAACAACCGAGGGGTCAGGATAATCCCCCGACTGCTACACTACCTGATTCCATACACCGGCCCAGGCTACACCAGTTCCTATACCGACTGAAGGTGCGACGGTTCCTCCACCTGATATTCTGATTCCACCTCCAACCCCAGCTATCGGCTCTGGTATTTCTAATGGGGATTTTAGGGGATCTATTCAGATGCTGACACAGATAGTGGCTTCTCAAGCCCAGAGATCAAATATTGCACCCACTTCGTCTAGGCAACAAGGGTATTCTACTATTTCTAGGGTGAACAGATTTCTACAGTTGGATCCTCCGGTGTTCACGGGTGCTAATCCCAAGGAGGAGCCAAAGGACTTCATTGATGAGATGCACAAGACTCTCTGGGTTATGCGCGCTACTGAGATGGAGGGAGTGGAGTTGGCCGTCTACCGCCTGAAAGGGGTGGCATATTCTTGGTTTGAGCTGTGGGAGGACTTTCGGGGGGAGGGGAGCCCTCCAGCGAGATGGAGTGAGTTTGTTGATGCATTTATAGACCATTTCTTGCCTGCCGAGACTAGGGCAGCCCATACCGCAGAGTTTGAGAATCTTAAGCAAGGGAGTAAGAGTGTGTGGGAGTATCACATGGAGTTCGCGCACCTGGAAAAATATGCTACTCACATGTTGCCTACTATGGAGGAGAGAGAGTGTCGGTTTGTGCAAGGCCTTAGCCCCTTGGTTATCAATGAGGCCGCTACAGCTGCCCTGAATTCAGACATGAAATATGGGAATATGGTAGCATTTGCTCAAGCTACAGAGGACCGCAAGTTGAAGAACAGAAGGGAGCGAGAGGGTACCAGCAAGGCCCGGTCCGCGGGAAACTTTGGGGAGTCATTTGGTGGGGGAAGATCAACTTTCAGGGGAGGGTCATTGGGGCCAACCCAGTCTCATGCTCAGTCTTCAGCTAGTGCACCGCCAGCGAGGCACAGTCAGCAGTAGGGGAGTCACTTCAGGCCCAATCAGGGCAGCAGGGGACCCCACCATCAAGGCCGATCTGGAGGGAGATTCCCGCAGCAGTGAAGGCCCCCATGCCCCAGGTGTGGGAAGATGCACTCGGGGATCTGCTACATGTACTTGCCTATATATTACGGGTTCGGATTGAGGGGTCATATTCAGAGGGAGTGTCGTTCATCCCGCCAGGGTGCGGGCAGGGGCACAACATAGCCATCCAGTCCTGTGGCTGCTACATCTTCAGCACCCCCTCCAGCTCGAGGCACTCCGGCACCAGTAGGGCGTGGTGCAGCTAGGGGTGGCGCGCAGAGTTCAGGAGGACCCAACCGTTTCTATGCTATGAGCGGTCGCTAGAATGCAGAGGCTTCTCTAGATGTTGTCACATGTATATTGACTGTCCAAACCCATGATGTATATGCTCTTATTGATCCCGGTTCCATCTTGTCCTATGTTACCCCTTATGTTGCTATGGAATTTGGGATAGAACCGGAAAAGCTTCCTGAGCCGTTCTCTGTATCTACTCCGGTCGGCGAGTCTATTATGGCCGCATGAGTTTATAGGGGTTGTGTTGTCACGGTGCATGGTCGGGAATGGATTGGATTTATTTATGTTTTGCTAAGCTCGACTGCCGAACTAGAACTGTGAGGTTTGAATTTCCAAATGAGCCGGTTATTGAGTGGAAGGGGGGTAATGTGATGCCAAAAGATAGGTTTATTTCTTACTTTAAGGCCACAAAGATGATCAACAAGGGGTGTATTTACCATTTGGTCCGAGTTACGGACACCACTGCTGAGGCACCTACACTCGAGTAAGTATCAGTTGTGAATGAATTTCCGGAGGTCTTTCCTGATGATCTCCCTGGGATTCCGCTAGACAGGGAGATTGATTTTGGGAATTGTTAGAAAAGGGTTTCATCCGACTGAGTGTGTCACCATGGGGCGCACCGGTCCTCTTTGTGAGGAAGAAAGATGGATCACTGAGGATGTGTATTGATTACCGGCAGCTCAAAAAAGTCACAATCAAAAACAAATACCCACTACCAATAATATATGATTTGTTTGATCAGTTACATGGTGCTAGATACTTCTCTAAAATTGATTTACGATCCGGGTATCACCAATTGAAGATCATGGAGCAGGATATTATGAAAACATCTTTCAGAACCCGGTATGGACACTTTGAATTTTTGGTAATATCTTTTGGGCTAACAAATGCCCCGACATCTTTCATGGATCTTATGAATCGTGTTTTCAAGACTTTCCTCGATTCCTTTGTGGTAGTGTTCATTGACAATATTCTTGTGTATTCACGAGGCCGGGAGGACCATGCCGATCATCTCAGGGCGGTGTTGCAGACACTTCATCAGCACTGATTGTATGCGAAGTTTTCAAAGTGTGAATTTTGGCTCGAATCTGTCACATTCTTGGGTCATGTTGTCTCTAGAGAAGGAATTAAGGTTGATCCTCAAAAGATTTCAGCAGTAAAGAATTGGCCTAGACCTACAGCGCCCACCGAGATTCACAGTTTCTTGGGGTTAGCAGGGTATTACAAGAAGTTTGTGGAGGGGTTCTCTACTCTTGCCTCTCCGTTGACTAAATTGACTCAGAAAGCAGTTAAGTTCCAATGGTTCGATACTTGTGAAAGGAGCTTCCAGGAGTTGAAATCGTGATTGGCTACGGCGCCACTGTTGACCCTGCCAGAGGGTACAGATGGATTTGTGGTATATTGTAATGCTTCAATAATTGGGCTAGGGTGTGTGTTAATGCAACACGGCAAAGTTATAACATATGCTTCTTGGCAACTCAAGAATCATGAAAAGAATTATCCAACACATGACTTAGAACTTGCGGCGGTGGTTTTTGCATTGAAAATTTGGCGTCACTATTTGTCTGGGGTCCATGTGGAGGTTTCACGGACCACAAAAGTTTTCAATATATTTTCAAACAAAAGGAGCTGAATCTTAGGCAAAGAAGATGGCTTGAGTTACTCAAGGATTACGACATTGATATTCTATATCACCCGGGGAAGGCCAATGTTGTGGCGGATGCGCTTAGCCGGAAAGCTATGGGTAGTTTGGCTCACTTGGAGGTATATCAAAGGCC